TCTGAGTGCCTGGCTAAACGCTATGCCAGTTTTGCAGTGCCTGGGGTGACAGCTGGAGGAGTGGAGGTACTGGTGGGTGTCTGTGGGTTTGGAATACAGGTCAGTGGTTAGTGAGTTGCCTTGCTTGCGGACGGTGACATCCAGAAAGTGGGTTTGGTGAGCCGAGAACTCCGATGTGAATTTGATGGTTCTGTGGAAGGAATTGATGTGGTTAGTGAAGGTCAAGAGACTGTCCTTATCACTGGTCCAGATGAAAAAAACATCATCAATCAATATATCTCCACCAGATCCAAGGGCGACATGGGGCCGAGGCAAGAATGCGTTCTTCGAGGTCACCCATGAAGAGGCAAGCCATCGACGGAGCCATGCGAGTGTCCATTGCAGTGCCGTGTACCTGTAGACAGTGTTCACCAAGGAAGGAAAAATTGTTCTTCGTTAGTATAAGTCTCATGAGGGTGCCAACATCACTGATGGGAGGAGTCGTGTGTCCTGCCTTGGCCAGAGCCAAGGAGCAAGCACGAACACCCTCCTCATGTGGGATGTTGGTGTACAGAGATGAGACGTCGAAAGTCCCAATGATGGCTGTGCTGGGAATCTGGTCCTTGATTCCTTCAAGCTTGCGTAGGAAGTCTGGGGTGTCGTGAATGTATGACGAAATCTGTGGGACAAGGGGTTTGAGAAAACTGTCAATGAACAGGGAGATGCGTTCCGTGGGTGAGCCATTACCGGAGATGATGGGTCTACCGGGGTTGCCAGCCTTGTGAATCTTGGGTAGAAGGTAAAATCTGGCAGTCCTACAATCACAGGGAGAAAGAAATTTGTGAGCTTTCTTGGACAACTGGTCATGTGATCGCATATCGTCAAGTACCTGTTGTATATCTCGACAGAAAGTACCTGTGGGGTCAGAGTCAAGGCGGGTATAGTTAGTACGATTATCCAACTGGCGGTGGGCCTCATCAATGTTCTGCTGACGATCCATGATGACCACAGCTGAACCTTTATCTGCTGGCTTGATGATGATGTCGGTGCGAGAGCGCAAGGAGTTGAGAGCCAGGCGCTCCTCTCTGTGGAGATTATCATGAGTCCTGTGGGGGAAGTTGTCCGGGTTAGTGACTTGGGAATTGATAACTTGAACGTATGTCTCTATGGCTGGCACACGATTCTTGGGGGGTACCCATGAACTCTTGACTCGAAAAGGCTCTGGCTCACACGGTTCACTGTCCAGGAAAAACTCACGCAGACGGATTCTACGGTAGTATTCCGTGAGATCTTGGCTGAGCTGAACCTGGTTCACAGAACGGGGAGCGGGACAAAAATTGAGACCCTTGGAGAGAAGTTTGTGCTCTGCGTCAGATATTGATGAGGAAGAAAGATTAACTACAGTGTTGACAGGGGGTTCTGGCGTAGGCGTGGTAGATGGGGACCTAGGACGTCTGAAACGTCTGTGTCTGCGTTGCTGTTGCTTGGCAAGCAAGCCACCAATCTTCTTGTTTCTCCTGTTGAGTAGGACAGAGTCAAGGTTAGACAAACCCCTTTCAATCTCATCATGGAAATTCCTGTACGTGGAGTCAGAACAACTTGATTTGAGTTGGGAGTCAAGGTGGGAAATATTCTGATGGAGGTCCTCACGTGTAAATTGACACTGCTGAGAGAGAATATTGATGAGTTTAATAGAGGCACCATGCATAACTTGATTCCATCTCCTTTGAAGGTGTGGTGGGAGGTTTCCTAAGCAGGGAGTGTGAGACAGTTGCAAACCTTTGGGATAAATCGAGAGAGGGAGTAAAAACTGTAGTTATCCTGATGGTAGGAAAAGCGTAAGGCCTTTTCCTTTGCCTTTCTGAGCTGTTGGAAAGTGCAAATGGTGTCACTCATATCTGTAGAAAGGGAGAGAATAAATGGGTAATACAATTGGGGGCAGAGCAAAACAAAATTGTAGGTACCTGTAGTGTGGAGAGAACAGTTTGATTAGTACATGGTATAAAACGATCAAAAGAAGGAACAAAACAAAACACAATGAAACTTACATGTCAGCAAGGAGGATCACCACGAAGGGATACTGCAACAGAGAAGTTGAAACATGTAAAAAAGTAAAACTGCTGCAAACTGCTTACTGACTGGATGGACCTGAAATATATAAATCTTAAAATTAATGTGGCCTGACGTTGCGAACTTAGCAAGTTCTTCTTCAGAGGCTAAAACAGAAATGACAGAGGTACATACATTAACATGGGGGTGCACACAAACATGCAGGGCTGAAAGAAGAAACACAAAAGGAGGATTAAGTGGGAAAGGTGTAGTACAGTCCTGCGGTAGCTTTTAACAATTGAGCACTGCACATGCGCTCAACCCCCATCGCGTGAGACTGACGCGGGCGTGCGCAACACAGTAGCTAGGGATGCGTGCGCGCGTGCGCGCGCGTAAGGAAGTTTTGAAACGACATCGTACAGCAGTGCAGTATATACTGAGGATGTTTACGACGAAAGAATAGATCTACGATTTATTTTCTTTGAACACTTCACCCACCGACATATTTACCTTTCCTAAACCAAGCATCTTTGTAATTCCGGACACAAGGAATGTGTAAACGAGATTTCAGCTTCCTCCATCAGGTAAAGATATGAAAACATTGTTGTAATTTGTTTCGCTACGGCAGCAGTTTCTGTTGAGTTTACGTCGTTATAGCTGTTAAGCTAAAATATGGCCCATGAACATGAACACAACAAAGTCTGGAAATATCGCAGAAAGAAAGTCACAAAATTGGAGCATTTTAACTGTTTATTTCGTTATAAAGGTATTTATTAATGGGATTTTTTCGTCTCGGTCCATTAACAGCGGTCACCTCCACACCCGGTCATTATCACGCAGTGAAGACCGGCTCCTCACACTGTTATTCCCTTATTTTTACGCGATACATGTGCCAAATTCTGAAAAAGGCAGCCAAAACGGCATGTCCCACAAATAGGGCAACACTTCTTTTTTAAAAAGGGCACTTGATCAGAAAAAAAGGCACTTCTTCAAAAAAAGGGCACTCTTTGCAAATTATTTGGGGGTAAGCCCGTTGAAAAAAGGGCATTTGAATGGAAAAGGGCAGTCTTTACAAAATATTGGCTGGGGGAAATACCCCCTTACCCACCCCCCCCCCCCACACACACACACACACACACCCACACACACACTGGCTAAGACTATGATCTCCCATTAATCTGCGAAACGCAACCTGTCCCCTTCAAACCCAAGCCAATCTGAACACCCTGCCCTTCACAGACGGATGCAGAACAACACTGTCGTTGGGATTCCGGTTGTGTTGGGGGAGGGGGAGGGGGCAAAGATGGGCCTGACATCCAGCATTTTTCATTTCTCATTTTGTTGTTTACATGTTTTAGCTTTTTAAGAATCCGTGAGATAAATAGGATAAGTGGAGCACACAATCGTCTTAGTGCCATTTATTGTTCTTGATGAATTATTGAAAGATAAGTAACAATCGGCATCATATTTTGCTCCCCCGCCCCTCATCTTCAATCCCTAACCCCCTCGACACCACTAATCATTCATTCTCCACCCCATCCATCCTCAACCAATGTTAACCCGGCCTTCATTAACACGATCCCCAAATCTAGAAGTCAAAACAAACAAAAATGGACAAAAATACAGGTAATTAACTGACTCTGTTTGCAATAATTTGTAATATCAAAGGGATTAAAATTGTTATCTATAATCACAGATTTAAGTACTTAATAAGAAATTATTGTGTTCGCAAGAGTCAGACTGTGATTTGCTCGTTCATTTCAACGACAATATTTCTCTGTAATTTTACTTTCTTGAGAGGAATTCGATGGAATGTATTACGAGAGGGACAAGGTTTTCCACATTGTTAAAAGCTAAATGTTCAATTAAAGTAATGTTCAAAATACAGTTTTTGAGTATTTATATTCGATACTGATTACATGTTATATGATTGATTTCTGTGGTTAAATTAGTTAAGCTGATATACAGAGCACATCCTCAAATGTATACTTGGAAAAAAAAAGTTTCTTAGAATCAAATATAAACTATAGAATCATAATTTTGTAATCTGCTGATAAAGTGTCACATTATTAACTCAAATTACATTAAATCGTAAACAATTTCATCATAGTGAAAGCTCTAAAACTCAACTTTTAACATAAACAAAAACTCAATTATACATGTATAACATGGGATACAATAAAGTGTTTAACAAAAGTTGAGAGTTCTTGGTTCACTGTGGCGCAATTTGAAACTATTTAAATGATATCACCAGGCTTCATTTAATCTCTGGCTGTATACGGTAAGCGAAATGCAAATGAAAAAAAAAAAACACACTATTTTGTTAATACATGCATTTGTTACTTCCTAGACAGACTATTGTAACGGTTTATGTTTTTCTTTTCATACGATTACCAGTTTAAGAAATAACAACATATATGCAGAAGGAAGGGTCGTACGCCCATACTTCAGGAACTACTTTGGCTCTCGGTTACGGTGCGGAATGAATTCAAGATTCCTTGGTACTTTTCAAACTTATCTGCAATGGTGAGACAGCGCTACGGTACTTCACAGAGTAAATATCAGTTCATGCGTTTAGCATTCGCACTAAAAGCTGTGATGGGGTTCAGTTTAACCTTCCTAAAGTTCGTCCAAAGCCTGGCAAGGCATATAGTGACCGTGCAGACTTCCACGTTATTTGAGCAAAAAATAATGAATTTGAAGGGTTTTTTCAATCTCATCTAAAACCTTCAATTTAAAAAGTCATATATTTTACTTCTTTTTAAATAACTGTTTTTACGCAGTTTTGATACTTGAATATAAAATGCTTTGTAATTATCTTTCTTATTATCATTACACTGAACATTTTTCTTTTAATTCATTGGTTACTGTTTTGGAAAAATGGAAAGCGAAACCAAAAATGCAGCACTGCTCCTGTATATTTATGCATTGTGATTTACTCTATTTATTTAATTATTTATTTATTCGGAGAAAAGGAGGAAGCCACTGAATGAGGTGTAGTGATAGGTCGAAGAACCCTGCGCCCTACCGTACATGGTAAGATACACCGAGTCTCCTCGCTGCAGGACCATAACCGCGCTACCAGACAACTGACCTCGTTGATTCGAGTGACCATAGGTACTGATAACCTTGTAGTCGTTTTTAACAAGATGGATGCTAAAAGAATCGCTGTGGCTATACTCAAGGCTAGAAAACGTAAATACGTAGGTGCCCGCCACACTACAGGTGAACGTGCCGGTCTCGAGATCAAAGGTGGTACCCGGCAGAAGCGTCTCGGTCTGCTGGAAGGGCAAACGGGTGTCGTGACTCCTAGAGGTATCCGAGTTGCTCGTCCTCACCACGGTGAATGCTACCCGCTGTTTAGAGTCGTCTGGTGTCTCCCCTGGCTCACCCTTCTGACCTTTGACACCAGTTTCCCCAGTTCCTCCAACAAAACCAGGTAGCCCTCTCGGACCTATCTTGCCGGGTAGACCAATCCCATTATTTCCTTTAGACCCACTGTTCCCAGGTGCTCCCCGCTCACCAGGTTCAATAGGGCCAATAGGGCCAATCTCACCTTGCTGACCTGCATCGCCCTTTGACCCCGGCTGACCGTACGGCCCCATCGGTCCTGCTGGCCCAGGCAGACCTGGTATGCCGGGTATTGCAGCAGGTCCCAGGCAGCACTGCTGACACACCTGAGACGCAGGACCATCACCGTCCGAGGGAACCGGCCCAGTAACGGAAGCTCGGAGCTTGACAGAGTTACCCAGAAGGAGGGCGATTGACAGAATGGTGGCCATGCAGATCTTCATCTGAAAGGAAAACAATACAGGGCCTAAAATTACAAACAAAATCACTGCATAAACTGAAGAATTTGTATACGAGGCATAATTTGGAGGAATCATTATTCAGAGAATGTGTCGGCGTGATATGGCAGTGGCCTATCCGGGGGAAAGGGGATAACATGTAAATGGAAAGATGGGTTCTTTTTCAATCGGTTGACATTGCAACTACGGGCAATTCTCATTATTGGACTTGTTAGTAACGGAAGCTCGGAGCTTGACAGAGTTACCCAGAAGGAGGGCGATTGACAGAATGGTGGCCACGCATATCCTCATCTGTAAATAAAAAACAATACAGGGCCTATATGTAAAACTAAAAACAAAAACAATAAGCAATAAGAAATAGGCATAATGATGTTACATACACTGAAGAGTTTGTCTTAGAGACACGTGTGACTTCATAATTATTTTGTGGAATCATTATTTAGAGAATGTGTTCGGCGTGATGACAGTGGCTTATACGGGGGCAAGGGGCTATAACATTATATGAACAGGTTTGTCATTATTTTTGCCCGCCGAAATGAGTTAGGAAAGGAGACCGAATTATATTAGATTTTTTTATGGGGACGGCACGCCCTTTCCACTGTCATGACAGAGTCAATTAATAAACATCACCACACCGACCTCGATGGTTCGCTCTTGAAGTCTTGAAGATCAGGTCCAAGAAGAGATCAAAATGGGTTCACTGTAGGCTGAAAAATAATAAACAAAGAAACCCGGTAACGTTTATACTTTATTCATTGATTTTAATACAATTTTGAGGTGTTTTTTCACTGTGATCAATAATCATTCGAAACAAGGAACAATTATTCACTAATAAAAACAACCGTCAAAGATTATTTGTATTTTCGTGACCGAATACGCCCAGAAAAGGCAACATGTGTTAATGACGCTTTGTGATAATTTTCTAAGGAACTTAAATGCTCCCTGAAATCAACAGTAAATTTATTCAAACGCGTTAATGAAAGCCTTTATTCAAATTCATTATACAATTTATTGAAATTCATTATACAAAAAAAATCTGTGTATTTTTGAGGCACTAGTAAGTCATTGAATCATTTTTGAAAGCATAATATTATTATCTAAGTTTTTAAAACAGCATATTCTTTATTTAAATATGTTTTTCCCGTCCAATTTCACACCTTGCTCATTCAATGTGTGAACACTTTTTTTCAAATTCGCATACAAACGCGTAAGCATTTTCCAACCCAGTTGAATTTAGCGAACGATCACATTATTTAAGGGTATCTCCACTATAAGCATAAAAAAGTAGGCAATTGACGTATTTCCATTGAATTTATTTTGCTTTGGATTTCAGTCCAGCTCGGGAACTCAACTTCATGCTTACGTTCACAAAATTCATACATGTTTAATAAATTTCGGCAGTTTAGCCAGATCAGTGGTGGCTCTAGGGGTGCGGAGGGGGTGCCCTCCCCCGGCAGTGACCGAATATTTATCAAAAAAGGCAAATTTCGATTGAGAGAGCCCTTCCATCCTCACCCATTCTCCCGGCACAAACTTCGCCCGGCAATAAACACTCTGGATCCGCCCTTAAAAATATTATTTGGCAGTTTAAAACAAATGATAAAATGACATGACTTTTGATACAATTTCATGAAGCAATTTACACACTTTTGTTTTAATTGTCAGGGAAGGAAACATGACAGAAACATTGTTAGGTGGCTAGATCATAGAAAGAATTTTGAATTTTAAAAGGATACTCAAAATCAATCACATTTCTTTTGTAATCGCTAAAACGATAAACGGTTAATGCAGTCTTTAATCTTTTTCTATAGTTTGCATGCATATCTCTCTTTTAGTTCTTTTAGTTCTCTTATTTTTGGGGGTTTGTTTTACAAAACTGATTGTATGTACGTAAACATGAAAGAAACAATCTCGTGCGTGCTTCGTCATTAACCAATATGAAGAACCGGGTAAAATTAGGACAAGAAATCTGCTTTTTTTTTTAAGGGAAGATGCAAAATCTAAATTGACGCTGGAATAATTTGTGCATACCTGAACTCTTAACATGATTCTATCTATCCAGCCATGGGCGTCGACAGGATTTTGTTTGTGTAGAGGAGGACAGAGCTCATCCCTCCCCCCCCCCCATATCATTTTCCTGATTGATAATTTTTTGAGGGTGTCCAGGGACATTTGCACCCCAACCAATTAAATTAACAACAATATGATCGCACCTATTTCGTCTTTTTCTTTTTATCCCGTTTTTTGTCCTGGTTTTTTTTGGGTTGCTTGTCCGGGGGCAATTTAAACATGAATAAAATGTGTGTGATCATGATCCGAATTGTTCGTTGCGCCCTAAAGTCTATTCTGACAATTGACACTTTTCTCCTGCAACGCTTGAAAGTACGTTTAGACCTATCATTGCAGACCCTATTCTGAATTCTGAATTTATCAGGAAGAAATCCTCAACACGTGTGCAGATTGCTGGCGAAAAAAAATACCAATTTATAACAATGAGTAATTGAGTTATTTTCTGAATTAATATGGCCAACCCATCTCATACCACGAAAGTATAGTGGCGATAATATATTACAGGTGGACCACCGCAGTTAAGCTAAAGTCTTAACAAGTAGAATTATTTCCCCGATGGTGGGAAATCAGCGCACCTGTCTGGCTATTAGCATCAGCCACCATCTGTTTGTCAACCACGAATGTGTCTAGGAAAATCTTTAAGGTTTAAGAAAATCTGTTCCATTATTGGAAACCTTGAACACTGAAAATATTGCTTTTTTCAAAAAGATGTTTAACAGAATCTACGTGACATTCTCAGTAGAACCCTGCATGCAAACATGGCTGAATTCATCTGAAAGCTGGTGCTTCAATCGCTGAAGTCGGACAGCAGAACAGACGGCCTGAATAATTTGTACAAACATCAACGCTTTACATGATTCCTAGAAATGAATCCAGCTACATAAAGCAATTTGAACTTGAATAAAGTGTGATCATGGTCTGGTCCGTTCGTATGTGCGCCCTCTAGTCTATTCTGACCAGTGACAGGCGTATACGTGTATAGAGATCAAACCGGAATGGCGAACTACATGTGAACTAGTGAAATGGCACAGTTTAAAAACGAAGCACAGAGGGTATTAAGATTATCCCAATTTTAAATACCACAGCATAGGACAGGATGTTTGAGATGTCCCGATTTCCTTTTTTACGTTCTTCCGTGGCCAACTTCCGCATAACCTTTAATCCTGAATTAGTTAGAGTGATTGCCGGGAAAAAGGTGAGCGCATCGCATCGGAATTTTATGTTTGATACAATTAACAGGGAAAACTAGCAAGAAAATAAAGGGGGTGAATGGTCAAACCGATATTATGGGTCAAGTGTCAAGCTCTCGCAATATTTCTTTCTTTTAACCAAAAAAGTTTTAATTTATCATCTGAAATATTGTGTAAGTGCGTGAACAATATGCAATTTCATGTAATACGCTCTTGAAAACCTTCAGCCAGGTATGACTGGAAAACTGGCGAACCTGAATGGCAATACAAACTATAAAACTTCCATGAATTTATAGTGTGCTATCGGTAGCGACAAGAATTCAAGTAAGTTTTGAAGAGCCAGAGAAATCAGTCAGAATTTTGGACAATTGTTTGTTGAGAGTGCACCATGGAAGTAGCAGCGATAATATTGTAAGACAGGAATTCCTTATTCCGAACAAACAAAATAAAAACCCTGATTACTTTGCCCTTAGCTTTTATTGCCTGAAAGTTTGGCCTCACAAAATGTTGGTATGAAACCTGCAGCAACTGTTCAGACTAAGAGCTAATTCAGCTGTATTAGGCCAAAAAAGTCTCCGATTTCTGGTATGCGCTCGCGTCGCCGTAGCCATGCGCGTCGGCAAAATGAAAAAGTTTTTTTTTTTCAATGAAAGATGATGTGTCAAAACCGCCAAACTCACTGGTTTGACTGGAATCTTGCTGGTGCACAATTTAAACGTGTTTTTAGATGGGGTTATGATCGAGAATAAGCATTATGTGGCCTCTCTAGTCTCCCATAATATTTGCACTCAGTTTAGTCGGGCACCATTTGCAGTCATCAGCCGACATTTGTAGCAAAAAAAAAAGGTAAAACAACAACAAAAAAAAACGCGTCGCCGCACTACTTTTTGGGCAAGTTCCAGACCAGAAACCGGATACTTTTTTTGGGCCTTATATACATTATAATATCTGGTGATTATTCAAGCACCTATCGATAAGTTATCGAGTTAACGTATGAAAAAGGGATCGTCATGGTGGGAAATATTTACAGCGCACTGTTTTGGCTATAAGCACATTTTTTTTTGTCAATATCATAAATCAAAAGAGCATTCAAAGTTGGAGGAATTATCGTAAGAGATTGTATCAAACACTTACCGTGCAATTCTTGTTCGATCTTGCAAACAGTTCTCTCGGGTTGTTGTCTGGACGTGGACATGAGCTGCGGTTGTTGTGAGGAGTGAGCCGGCAGCTTGTGACTTAAATATTGACGTCGATTTCCCAAGCAGTGACTGAGGAACTTGCAAGCCCGGTTTGTGATTGGCCCCTGCGCGCTGTCAATCACACATCACCGACTCGCTCCATATTTGTGAGACGGAAATGATGTTAATGTTACATTGCCACACGTTAAACCCGAAGCTTGTATCGCCGACACTCAAATAGCCGCATCTAATTGGTGGAATGATCGTATGGATGTCGGTGACACATTCAAACACGTGGATTGTGATTGGTACCTGTCAATCACAGACCACTCACTTGTGGTCACCGACTTGTTGGGTGACTAACTTTGATTGGTGGATAGAATAATGACGTACACCGGCTATACATGATTCAATCAGTGTTTGTTGTGCGCTTTGTGCTATTTAATGGAGCCACGCATTTGGTGGCTAGTATTTTGTAGTCAGGTTATGCAGTCTACATTTT